AAAAAAAAAAAAAAAAAAAAAAAAAAAAAAAAAAGGACTAATACAAGTACTTTGAGCCCCTAGACGTCTAATCTATCGGTTGTACAGATTTTTCATTATCCTTCACTTCCTGAATGGCCTCTCTTCCTTCTTTGCCTAGTTTAAATTTTATCATGACTTGTTATAATCACCGCCTTGCATATACCATTAACTCTCATGCCCTGTTCTTGCTTCTAGTACTCACTTGTTGAAACCACACCTTTGTTTAAATTCAACTCCCCTCCTATTCTGTGCCTTTACCTGAATGTCTGTACATGGCTGCAGAAGCTCACATTATCTCACTGGTCTCACTTCAGTTCATGACCAGAAACTCAAGGGGCCCCCTAGGGCTGCCCAGTCATCACACTTCTGTGGTCCCTGAACTCTCCCTCTCTCCTAGAGGACCTTCTCCTTCAATCCCCAGCCTCTCTTCCCTGCCTCACTCTCAGATGTTGACCTTGCTTCCTCCATCTCTGAGAAAACTTTAAGCCATCAGAAAAGAGCTTTTATAGTCTCCAAACAATACATTTTCCCACACACCAGCATCTGCCCCCCTATATTCTGCTTTCCTACCTGTTACCACAGATGAACAATGGCTGATAAGCCTCTTTATTCGTGCTTCTTAAACTATCTGTGATGAAGGAGCAGTTTATTTATTTATTTATTTTCTAATACATCATGAACCAGTAGAAGATAAGTCTACTGATCACATGTTTATCAGACAATTTTAGACAAATTACTAGATAAGTTTTTAGATGCTTACTCTCAATCTGCATACTTACCTGGCACAGAACCCATAACAAAGACCTTGCAGACTGGCACGGTTTCTACTGAGCACGCTTTTGAGTAGCTTTGCTCTGCATGACAGGCCTCTCCTTACCTCTACCTCTACCTCTGTGACCTTGTCTCCTACCACTCTTCCCTCACTCTCTCTTCCCTGGTCTCCTTGGATGTAGCAGGAAATCTCATGTCTCAGGGCCATTAGACCTGCTTTTTCCTCTTCCTGGAACATTCTTCCTTCAGACTTGAGGTGACTTGGCTAACTCCCCCTCACCTCCTTCATTTCTTGCCTTCTCAGACCACCCTACTTGAAAATCACATCCCTGCCCACTCTAGCACTCTCGTTCCCCTTAACCTGTTCTTCTTATTTCATCCACAGCACTTAGCAACAACTTTATTTGTTTTTTGCAATGTGTATTCTTTTGTTTTCTGTATCTCCTTGCTAGAATATAAGTTCCATGAGTACAGAGTTTTTGCTTGTTTTGTTCCCTTATGTATCTTGAAACATAAAACAGTTTCTGGCACAACCATAGGTGCTTAGTAAATGTTTTTGAATATTAAATGAGTGGACACATTTCTAACCTCTGTGCTTACCTTTGCACCTGGAAATCCTTCTAGGCCCGGCAACCCCATTGCACCAGGCTCTCCCTGTTAAATATGAACAGAGAAATACAGAAGTAATGATCAAATAGCTTTTAAGCATTGGTTTCAAAAGCAAAGATGTTTTTGCTTAATCTCCCTCCCCACATCAAAGATTGATTTGTAATTTAGCAAGTAAATAGTGTCTCTATTTTCAAGCAATGTATTATTGCATTTTGTATTTGAACATAGTTTGAGAATCAAAGCTATTCTCCAGAGAGGTATGAGTATATTTTCTGATTATTTTTATTTTGATTAAGAAAGATTAAGAATCAGGAAGATTCCTTCTAGTCAGTGATAACTCCAATTTCAGTAAGAATTAGAATGAAAGACTAGGCTTTGATAGAGTTTGCCAATTTGTGAGGTACCTGGGGCTGTTAACATTACTAGAGAATAAGACTAAACTCTTTAAGAATAGATGAAGATGGAGCTCCCAAAGCTGGTTTATCATCCTTAAAAATTCTCTGCAGATGGACATGAATCATGAATCTTTAAGAGGATGACCCTAGGAGCAGCATCTCCAATAATTCTAATAGTCATTGCTCAAGCTGATGGATCATGGAAAGGGGAAAGGTAAGTGCTTTTCAATAAAAAAAAAATCTTTTACATATTTTCTAAATGTGTTCCTTGAGGATCTCCAGGTTCCAGGCTAACTTTAGAAAAGCTGTGGTGAAGGAAGGTGAAATTTTACACAAATGAACATTACAGCTTTTAAGCAGGTAGTTTTTTGATACCTTCTTGTTAATGAATTAATAGTAACTGCAAATATTTTTGTAGGACACTGGAAGCTTTAGACATAATCCCATAAAAAAAGGAACTTCCAAATATTATTCTCTGTAAATGTATTTTTGCACAGTTATTCTAATCTGCTTCAAAAATATTAGCAAGGCTCTAACTTCCACTGTTATTTATGATATTGTTCTTGTTACAGAATACTTCACGAGCATATGACTTGATACTTTTTATGCTTCAGAAATCTCTTAAAATGCTCACTAACATGTAACCTGTCGATCAAAAAAGAAAAAAAGATGTTCAGATTCTATTCTGCATAAAGCTTTGTAGAAGAAGCCCTGAGTAATTGACAAAGGAAATATGCTCTCTGATTCTCTTTGTTTACATTCTCAACAGTCCTTAGGACACAGGAGGTGCTCAATCAACCCATCAATCAGTATTTGTTTGAAAGTAGGTAATAATTAAATATTTCACTGAAAGTCACTTATAAATTGAATATCAAAGGAATGAAATGGCTCTCCTGAGAAGATAATAAATTCAATTAAGGGTCATTTTCCTTTGTGAAGCTTTACTAAGCAGATTAGAAATGCTGGTGCAAATCTATTGCATATCAAAGGAATGAAATGGCTCTCCTGAGAAGATAATAAATTCAATTAAGGGTCATTTTCCTCTGTGAAGCTTTACTAAGCAGATTAGAAATGCTGGTGCAAATCTATTGCCACGGAATTTGAAGGATGCTGGAAGAAAGAGTAAATTTCCCCCTACCTGCCTCAAAAGGACTTTTCAACTTCCTATTCTGTGAGCTGCAAGTCTACTCTTCCTGGTTTATTTCTATGACATGAGGTATTATTTCTCCAAACAGGACAACTGGTGGGAGATAATGAGGGTTACGTGGTGGTGTTCACATAGGATCCAGAAGAGTAATTTCAAAGTTTTACCCAGGATAAGCATGAATGTGTACATAGTATTTACTTAATTTCATGATTCTGTATTTCTGTTTTTGTGCTGCACTCAATTCACATCTCTAAAAGCAGGGAACAACCTTCAATGAGTTTTTATTCTGTCTCCTTTATTGCAGCTATGAAGTTAGAAGCCTAATCTCTTCAAAATCTACTGAAATATGTCTGCATTTTTGTTGCCAGCCACTTTACAATGCAAGTGAATTATAATGTATCCTCTATTGTAATACTTAAAAAAAAAATTCTCATCTTAATCTTCAGTTTTTAACGCAAGAACTTGAAAGAGTGTTCCAGAAAAGTCAGTGAGAAGTCTAGGTGCAACTAAATGATTCAGAGTGGCTGTTTTGTGTATGTAAGAGGGAAAGACCCAGAGAAAATTTGTATCAACAGATGACAGAAAATTAAAATTAATACAGTTGGTGAAAATGCAAAAAAAAAGTTACAGATAAGGAAAAGGTGGCATGATTAGCAAAACAAAGAAAACTACTAAATTATATAATTGGAGTTCAGGAGTCAGAATATGATACTAACTAGTTGAAATGCTTTCAGGGGAAAACAAATTGGCTTTTAATATATATTCCCAATAACAAAAAATAAGGTCTTTAATGTACCTCCTTTGAAAATACATCTATACGTAAAAAGATTATTTGTTATTGCTTGATCCTTTGCTGGTTTAAAATTTATTCATTGAATTTTACCAAACTGTGCTATAATGAAAGGGCTTTAAGTTTTTTCACATGGCAATGGAAAGTGGTTTGAACATTTATTTCAGTTTTAAGTGCATTTGAATTTCAAGTATATACCCAAAGGTTAAAAGGATATAAAAATGAAACATAGAGGATGGAACATATGCTTGAAAAGGACGTGGCAGGAAAAAATGCCAAGGAATAAAGGGAATCTAATTGAATTTGGCAGAACTTTTGCAGTGAGGCTCTGTGGTTGAGAAGGACTGCTGAGAACAATGATCATCCCTTGGGTGGCTGGAGGACACAATCTCCTTCCTTGCTGAGTGTTAAGCTCCTGGAACATTCCTC